TCTCCCCTCTCCCCTCTCCTCCCCTCTCCCCTCTCCCCTCTCCCCAGGATATTGAAAAACTCTGAAATTAACAAAGTAACTAACTCTGGCTGTTAGAACAGCCTCAGCATCTTTGTAGCTGGATGAAATAGAAATTCATCTCTTACATGAATTCTTCATAGCTCTAGGATTTAGGGGGAAACCCAAGGAAATAGTTTCCAGACAAGAGAATAGCAGATGTAAAAAGGCCCAGGATGGAACAGTTTGCATATTTACAGACCCTCAAGCAGTCGAGTAAACCTGGGAAATGCTGTGACTGAGGGGAGTGGTAGGAGGTCAGATCTGAGAGGCTTCGGAGGAGAGAGCTTAGGGGACGACATAGGCTCTGCTCTGAACTTTGACTTTCATTCTAGTCATGAAGGACACCACTAGTAGGTTTGGTGAGGGGGTGACTTGATCTGATTTAAATACGTGAAGGCCATCTTGGCTAGAACTGGTAGAACTCCTTAGTGCATTTGGGAGACAGAAGCAGGATTGTGATTTCAAGGCTAGCCTGAAATATATAGTGAGACCTTGTCTCAAAACAAAAACAAAGGAACAAAAATGATCATTCTAGCTGCCACACAAAGCAGACTGATGGGGAACGGGAGTGGGCGTAGGCAGGTTAGTTAAACGGCATTCCAGTTGTCTAGGAGGCAGATCTTTGGGTCTCTTCTACTATGGTAGGTAGGAAGGAATAGAGACCTAAATATATTTTGAAAATTAAACAGTAGACGGGCGGTGGTGGCGCATGCCTTTAATCCCAGCACTTGGGAGGCAGAGGCAGACGGATTTTTGAGTTCCAGGCCAGCCTGCTCTACAGACTGAGTTCCAGGCCAGCCAGGGCTCCACAGAGAAACCCTGTCTCGAAAAACAAAAAAAAAAAAAAAAAAAAAGAAAAAAGAAAAACTGTTAAGGAATTGTTGCTATGAAATAAAAAGGAATTGGTGATAGTTTCTGTTTCTTAGGTGCTGGATTAATACTGATGCCATTTATAGAGACAGAAACTGAAGGAGGAGTTAGAGAGGGAAGTCAAGAGCTTTAGATACAGCTTTAGACTGTCAATTGAAGAAGTCCAGTAGACAACCATGTATCCACGTCTGGACTGTAGGAGAGAAGTGGAGGCTAAATGTTTGATTTTCAGGAGCTACTTCAGTGTGAAACTAAGGAGGAGGAGAGAGGGTGATGAGCTAGTGCTGAGCATTGCATGTGTGGGCTACAAAAAGTACCCCTTGAAGGTGGCTGCACAGCAAGATGGAGGGCAGGGAAGGGCAGAGCAGCTCCCAGCCAAGCCGACATGCTGTGGACAGTGAAGACGGGTACTATTAAAACTTACCGTTTGAACTCACCGGAGACCCTGGAGGCTCTTTTACTGTGGCCGTAATGACAGAAGCCCCGGAGAAGGGAAAGTGGGAGAGTAATATGGAAAAGTGGCAGTAACTGTTGCAGAAAAATCTCCAGAAATGGGCATAGAGAATAAGAGTCAAGGAGGAGGTCTAGTTTTGGGATGGAAAAATTTCACCTGCTTTACATGTTTGGTTTAAGTGCTAATAGAGACATCTTGCTGAGCATGGTGGTGCTCACATGGTGGCACTGGTTTACATCCTAGCTCTTGAAGGGCAGGAGAAACAGAGGCAGGCAGTATCCGTGAGTTTGAGACCAGCCTAGTCTAAGCCAGCCAGGGCAACATAGTGAGATCCTGTCAAAAAGAAAGGAAAGGAAGGGGGTTGAGGGAGGGATAGAGAAAGAGGCATCTCAGGTAGACATGGTGGCAGTGACTCGCATCTGTAATCACAGAACCCAGGAAGCTGAGGCTGAATTTTAGGCCATCCTGGACTACATAGTGAATTCTAAGCCAGTTTAGGCTGGAGGGCTAGAGTGAGACTCTGCCTCAGGTTTAGGTAAGGGGTGGATAAGGAGGTGGGGGGAGAGGATGAGAGAGGGAGGGAGGGAGGGAAGGAGGGAGGGAGGGAGGGAGGGAGGGATGGATGGAGGGAATGAGAATGAATATGCCTGGGAGAGCAAGCTTAGCTGTTTATCTGGAAACAGTACATATGTCAGAAAGCATAGTTGAGCTCCTGTTCTGACTTGTCTGTGTCTGTGATTATCTAGAATGTGCTTTCCTAGGTCTCGACAACCTCTTCTTTGCCTACTGTGGCAGCAATGCTGCGAGGAGCTGACAGTCCCAAAGCTCTTCCTGGCATTGGAATACAGGGCCAGCACTTCAAAACATATCAGTCTGCTAAATTGTGCATGTATATCAACTACTTCCTCAGCCAGAGGAGAAGGAGACTGTTTGGCTTCTGGTTCCATGTTTGGAGCAAGTTTATCTTACTGGCAGAGTTTAAATGATTGCAACCCCAGTGACAGAAGGTTCGGGTAATGTGGTTTTCCAGCTTCTAGCCTTTGCTGTATAGAGGAAGAGATATCTCACAAAGCTAATTTATGAAAATCAGATGATAATTCTTGGCCTAAATGGAGGTTTTTGCCTTGTCTTTATAATTTGTCACACTACTCTTTCCTATTTTTTTTTTATAACTGTGAAAGGGTTTTTCTCTAATCCTGAAAGAATTCTAGTGTAAGGGAAGTAATGTTGTCCTAAGTTTAGCCCATTATTTATAGATTTGTAGTTTAGACTTCAGCCCCTTTCTCTGCTATTTTGGGAACATGTCTCTCTATTGGGCGCTTAGATAATAGTTCAGAAGTCTAGGAATCTTAGCTATTACCAAAACAGGAATGGCATGGAAGAATCTGTATTAGTCTGAGTAAAGGAAGTTCTGGGCTAGCTAGGAGGACAGTCATCTGGTCGTGTGATGTTAGCTGTAAAGCATGTAAGAATTCATTTGGTCTCTTTCTTTGTGTTGAAAGACTGCACCGGCTCTGCAGCTCCCCCACCCCCATTTCCACATTCTTCCCTCTTAATTATTTATTTTAGATATTAAAAAAAGTCAGTCTTATAAAATATTCTGTAAGTTTGGTAAACCAACATTTCTTTGAAATTTCTATTGTTTTATTTGAGTATTATGCCTTTGATTTGACTCCTTCCCTTCATAGTCTTAACCTTCTTAACCTGGAGCTGTTAGGAAAGATGAAGGGTGAGTGAAAAAGCCTTCTAAGATTAAGGGAAAGCTAAGACACTTTAGGTAGACCACAGTCGAAAGGATGGTCTCAGGAGGCTGTACAATAAGAAATTCTAGATAGGCATGGTGGTGTACTTCTACAGGTTTCATGCTCAGGAGACCTAAATAGGAGAATCATTTGTTTGAGACCATCCTGGACCATATAACAAGACCCTTTTATAAAGGAGGGGGAAGTCCAGAGCTTTTTAGACTAAGAAAATGATGCCAGATACAAATCAATATTAGCAGGGAGGAAAAACAGCAACATAGATAAATATCCCAGTAAAACTAACAGATTACGAAAAATAAAGTATGACGCACACACACACACACACACACACACACACACACACACACAGAGAGAGAGAGAGAGAGAGAGAGAGAGAGAGAGAGAGAGAGAGCTCCAAGTAACTTGTATTTTTATATTTTTAAAGCAGGAATAAAAACAGCTATGGAATTTATAAATAAGTTGTTTGTTTGTTTGTGGCAGGTTCTTAGTAGGTAATCCTGGTTGGCCTGGAGCTCACTATTTATTCCAGGCTGGCCTTGAGCTCAACAGAGAGCCAGTTGCCTCTGCCTTCTGAATGCTGGGCTTGAAGCTAAGTCTTTATACGGTGTAAATATTATTCCAAGGTAGGCTGTGATGATGTGACATGGATAGTAGTGGCCCCTGTATATATTATTTTTCCCTAAACATATGTAGCTATGATAAAGGGTAATTTACAAGTTAAGTGCAGTAAGAGACTCACAACAGTAATTTGTAGCATTTACAACAATGTGCTATAATAAAACCTCCAGTATCATTACTCCTGGGCTGGAGGCCATTATTCAGCTCAATAAGGCTCTCCTTACACAAGCACTGTGATAGCACAGGAGTTGATCTGAGACGTGGATGCTACTAAGTGACTAGCATGGCAGTTATGTGAATGCACTGATGTATGTGCTGATCATCAAATAAGGCCCTTGTGGTAGAACCAGAAATTGAGAAGATAAGGTCATCTTCACACACTGGTTCCATTTACCAAAGAAACGTAGTCTCCTTTTCCCCTTAAGCATTTTGTATTTGCTTCTGTTTTAGTTTTTATCGCACTTTATTGCTTTATAGAACTTTCCCCCAGTCATACCCAACCTTCTTACAGGAAACCACATATCTAATTTTGAAGCCCTATTTCATGTAAAAATGGTGATATAAACACAATAATTAATAAATTCCATGAGATTTATTAAACTAGTATTTATCAAAAATACTTATTGTTGTAACAACAAGATTACTTTCTAACATAATAGTAGTAAAATACACTTGAATTCTGATTCTCTTACAAAATTCTCCTAAAGATTAACTTAGTAAACTCTCAGGAAAAGAAGAGTACAGATACAGAGCAAGTGCCTGGTGAAATAGAGGTTTCTAGTGTGGCATATGTTGGCCACTGACGGTTCCATACTAAACTGGTCTTTGGCCAAAAGAGTCCTGGGTTAGAAGCCGTTCATGAGATCCCAGTGGGTATATGAGGTGTGAGGAATGTGTGTGTGACAACTTGGTGAATAGTGGACATTTTCTTTCATTTTGAGTCTTTTCTATTTCTTAAGAATTTGTCAGCCAGGCGATGGTGGCGCACGCCTTTAATCCCAGCACTTGGGAGGCAGAGACAGGCGGATTTCTGAGTTTGAGGCCAGCCTGGTCTACAGAGTGAGTTCCAGGACAGCCAGAACTACATAGAGTCTGTCTTGAAAAACCAAAAAAAAAAAAAAAAAAAAAAAAGAATTTGTCTATAACATAATAATTTTTGTCAAATAAAAGTTGTTACATGTCCTGTATTTCTTGTACAGCTTGGTCATCAGACTTGTAATGGCAGACTGAACTTAGGCAATCTTTCTGTAAACTTTGTGGGAAGTATCTGAAATGTCTTTATAGGACAGAGAAAGATATAGTCTCAGCCTAGAGCATGACCTAAAGTATTCTAAATAACAAACCCAGGTATGAGTCAGTATTGGAAGTTTTTTGTGTTGTTTCCTAAACTTTCTCCTCTTTTCCAGGGTGCTCTGGAACAAGGCTCAAATTCTCAGCTGATGGCTGTCCAGTACACAGAAACCACTAGCATCAGGTAAGAAGCTACAGAAGTTCTTGGCCAATGAGCTTGACCTGTCTTTTAGTGGAGTAGAAACTCACTCCTCCGTTTCATGCTCCTCTGACAACTTGTATATCAGATCAAATGAACAGACACAGCCAGCTAGCAATCCCAGCAAAGAGCTCACCTCTCTCAAATCTCAAGTACAGATTAGTCAGAAGGTTTTTCTGTCATAATTTTGCTGTAAATCCAACGTGCCCATTGCTTTCTTGTTCTTGCTTTCTATCTGTTTGTTAGTTCTCTCCATCTACCTTGTTGGTGCAGGGTCACTGTTGTTTCTATTGTTCCATGAACTCCAAGCTAGCTGGTCCTCGGGCTTCCAGCTGACTCTTCTGTCCCAGCCTCTCACATCGCTGTGCTCATGCCGGACTACAGTAGTGTCCTTTGATGCAGCGTTTTTATGTGGATTCTGGGGTTGAACTGGACTTTCAGTGTTTCAGCTTTTGGAGCAGGTATTTTTACCTGTGGCACTATCTCATCCACCCTGGCTGGGAGCTTTACATATATCTTATCTTTACATTTATAGAATAATTCAAAGGATATTTATATAGGAAAAGGCTGGGGAGCCAAGTTTTGCTTTGTTTTAACTAATTTCCCAAGTCATGAACTAAGTGGTAGAACTAGACATCTGTGGGGAAAATTTAAAAAAGGCTGCCACAGCGGCGCAAGCTTGCGCCGCCGTGGCGGGTCCCACATCAGGGAAGAGGATCCTATGGTTCCAGAGGCCTAAGGGCCTTGGCGGCGGGCCCCAGTAACACGAAGAAGTCCTTGGTTCTAAAAAGATTTATTGTCATAACGGATAATAGATGGATCTAGGCGTACCCCTTCAAAACTCAGGGCAGTCCCGAGTTATATAGGGAGGGAGAAGGGGGAGGATTAGGGGAGGATCTGGGGGAGGAATGTTTAATTTGCTCTGCCCTCTGGCCTTCATTAGTATGTAAATCTCTAGGGCCTGAGGCCTAAAGCCTGGCCTATGTGACTCTATGGAAATGTGGCTGTTTTCAGGATCCTAGATGATGGGAGGTACCGAACTCCTGCCGGTTCTCACGCAGAATTCCACGGAGAATCTCGGGGTTCTAAGTACCTGCTCAACCATGACCCAGGGTACCCTTATACAGTCCCACAGACATCAGACGCTGTCTGTGTGACTTAGTACTACAGAGTACTACAGGAGATTTTGAGAGATTCCAGAGAGCACAGTACCAAGTAGTTCAAATGACTTCATCAAGACAGTGTAAGGTAAAAGCAGAGCAGAGTGGGAGCTAATCCAGTCATGACTAAGAGGCTAGCTGTAGCGGGGCAGATGTGTAGTCATGGCCTTTCTAACTTGCTCTGTGAATCAAGCAGATTAATGTAGCAGATCTGAGACCCCACTTATCTTCCAGCACACAAAACAGCAATAGCAATAAAAACATCATTTGCATAAATCAAATGTGACAGAACATCACATGGGACTTGATAAATAAATATGTGCCAAGTTAAAAAATATTAAAAAGTAAAAATGGGGTTAAAATTTTGGCTGAAAGAGGTTCTTAAGATTCAGATGTAGCCTTAGAATGGTAGGAATAGGGAAGACCCATCATGTCTGAATATTAATGGTATTTTCTCTCTTCTCACATTAGTAGGAATTCTGGGAGTGAGCTGCAAGTATATTATGCTTCACCTGGAAGTTACCAGGGCTTCTTTGAAGCCATCCGCAGGAGGGGAGATACGTTTTACGTCGTATCATTTCGAAGGGTGAGTTCATTTTGAAAGAATAAAGCAAATGTTTTTGAGTAGCTGCTGAATCCAAGGCCTCAGACAGAGTCTTGGAGAAGGGACAGAGGTCGGCAGGAGGCAGGGTAAGTCAGCCATGCAGGCGCAGCAGCTGAGGGAGCGCTGAGGTGATTCAGGAGGAGGGTACTGTTGTCAGGCTGCACACTGCATTGAGAACATAAACCACATCTGGTTTTTATTTCTTGACACCCCTATAGCTATACCGCTTGTTTCTAACCAGTGGGAAAGTGAAATAGGAAGCGACGCTTGCCTATTGGTGTGTTTTAAGCCAAATCTTATGTGGTAATTAAGGAACTAACTTCTGAAACGTAGGCTTAAGATTAATCCTGGGCTGATTAATTTGTCAATTGTGGACTGTTTAGATCTATGTTCCCAAGTTTCTTTGTTCATTTTTTATTTCCTTTAAAAAATGTTTATCCTTCTTGGTGAAGAATGTATTAAATAATCAGTCAGGTTATATAAGCAACAGTGTTTATACTAGCATTTTTGAATGTTAAAGATGTTAGACCACATGAAAAAAAGCACAGTCCATCTGCTTTTCCTATAAATGACAATATTGTCAGAGTTTCCATCTGACGGTCCTTTCGAGTACTCTACATTAACCAGGAAAACAGAAGTGATTGGAATTCCTCAGTGATTTTCATCCTAAGCCATTTCTTAAAGATTTTTTATTATGCTTTTAATTACATGTAAATATCAGGATGTGCATGCGAGTGCTGTATGAATTACTTTTCTGTTGCTGTGATAAAACCACAGCCAAGGCAACTTAGGGACGAAGTAGCTCATTTGGGCATAAGGTTCCTGAGGTAAGAGTTCATAGTGATGGACTGAAAGCAGCAAGCAGCAGGCGTGGTGGCTGCCTCAGGAAGCTGAGAGAGACAGATGGTGGGGGGGGGGGAGAGAGAGAGAGAGAGAGAGAATATTAGAAATGGCATAAGTCTTTAAACTTCTGTAACCCACCTCGAGTGATACACTTATTCCAACAAGGCTATTTCCTAAGCCCTCCAAACATTGACACCAATTGTGACCAAGCATTCAAATACTTGAGACTATGGGAGACATTTCTTTCAAACCTAGACAAGTACATTGCCCACAAAGACCAGAAGAGAGGCGTCAGATCCCTTGGAGCTAAAATCACAGCCAGTTATGAGCTGCCTAGTGTGGGTGTTCGAAACAGAACTCAGGTCCTCCCCAAGAGAATACGTGATTCTAACCACTATGCCGCCTCTCTCTAGCTGCCTAAGTCATTTATTTTTAAAGGAAAGACTATAGGTGGTACCTGGCTGGCAATAAGTATTTACTAACAGAATGATTTGTTCTCATTTCCTGTTGCCACTCCCTAACATAGAAATTGTCAGTTAACTAGTTAGTGCTTTTCTAAATTAGAAATTTTTAGTGCCTCAGGGTTTCAGGAGTAGGGACAATCAGATCTCGAAGACTAAGGAAATTAGATATTATGTATTACTTTATCTGTATATCTATTCATATATCCAGTTATTAATCAGACATACCAGGAGGTTTAGATACATTAGCAATGGCATCTGAGGATCACAGCCTTTTCACTGAATTCCTTTGCTCATCTTGCTCCCAAATAATTAATATGTTCACCAGCCTTACACTGCCTTTTGACTGTCAAGGAGGCCACTGAGAACAGAGTTTCATGAAAGCTCCAACTGTCATGACACATGAGAACTACAGATTTGTTCTTCTATTGATACGATTATGTTTAAGGTTAAAGGAAAAGTAAAGCTTTTAAAGTAGATCTTGTTCTCTGTGAGGAGCTGATGTGCGCTGACATGACCGTGTCACTGAACTTCCTACAGAAGCATAGTTTTAATAGTAGTTCAAGGCATGCCTTCATTTGATGGAACAGTGTAACATATAGTAAAAGCAGCAGATGGCAAGCGCTGGGTGGAAATCATTGTTAACAATGTTTTTCTAGGGATGAGAACTGGTTACACACACACGCACACACACACACGGGAGAGACTATTAATATTAAAAGAGACTGGATTTTTTTTAAATAAAGAGGATGAATTATGCTTTTTTAATTAATTATTTTATTTATTTATATTTCAAATGCTGTTCCCCTTCCCAGTCTCCCCTCTGCAACCTACCCACCTGCTCCCTTCCCTTTGCCTCTAAGAGGGTGCTTCCCCACACACACCCACTTTGCCTCACCCCTCTAGCATTCCCCTTTGCTAAGGCAGCAAGCTTCACAGGACCAAGGCCTCCCCTCCCATTGATCCCAGATAAGGCGGTCCTCTGCTGCATATGTAGCAGGAGCCATGGACCAACTCATGTATACTCTTTGGTAGTTTAGTCCCTGAGAGCTCTGGGGGGTCTGGTTAGTTGATATTGCTGTTCTTCTATTGGGGTTGCAATCCCCTTCAGCTCTTTAAGTCTTTCCCTATCTCTTCCATTGGGGTCTCCGGGTCAGTCCAATGGTTAGCTGTGGGTATCTGCATTTGTCTTAGTCAGCTGCAGGCAGAGCCTTTCAGAAGACAGCTATACTAGGCTCCTGTCTGTAAACACATTTTGACATCAGCAGTTGTGTCTGGGTTTGGTGTCTGTGGATGGAATGGATCCCAAGGTTGGGCGGTTTCTGAATGGCCTTTCCCTCAGTCTCTGCTCCACTTTTTGTCCCTGCGTTTCTTTTAGACAGGAACAATTCTGGGTTAAAGATTTTGAGATGGGTGGGTAGCCCCATCCCTCAACTGGGAGCCATGTCTATGTACTGGAGGTGGTCTCTTCAGGTTCTGTCTCCCTCTGTTGGGTATTTGGGCTAAGGTCATCCCCCACTGGGTCCTGGGAGCCTCTCACATCCCTGGTGTCTGGGACTTTCTAATGTTCTCCCCCCTCCCCACCTTCTCCACTTCCCTTTGCTATGTATCTCTATTCATTCTCCTGGCCCTCTGGACTTCTCTTCAGTCTCTTCCCTTTAAAAAAAAAATACAAGAATTACATTTTCCCCACATGTGTATAAAGCTCTTTCTCATTATTTTACTGTGGAAAGTACTATTGGAAAAATACTGATTTCTCCTTTCATCCTTTGATGTTCAAATAGTTCAGTCTTTCTGAACTATTTATTTTACGTTCTTCCTGTATCCTTCATCTAATCATAATTTATCATCTAGTATTTTATATCTAGGAAACCTTGCAACATCTTTTCTTCTGCCCCTCACTCCCAGTCTCTCTTTCTCGTTTTAACAGTAGGGAAATGGGAGTTTGCTTTATTGCATTGACTATAAACTGTGTCATGGGACAGGAATCCAATCCCTAAATACCTGGATTGCTCATTTTTTTCTTGCTAAGATGAAAAATATAAGAAGTAACCATGTCATACTTAGCCTTTTTTTCCTATATTTTGATGTGAAATACTTTCCTAAAAGTTTGGTTGAAAATCCTGTGGCATAAGTAGGAGGAGGTAGACTTTGCTCTTGTTGGGTTCTTAATCTCATTGACAGAAATGATGACACTGGAATTCAGGGATAAGGAAGTTGTAAAGGCCCACGTCTCTGCTTAGCATGAGCCAGACACTTACAATCCGGCCAGTAGCAGAGCCCATTTTCTTTTACTATTGAGCATATATTTAACCGAATGTCTTAATAGCTAAAGAAGTACATGTGAGATTGATGACTAGTACATACCCTTATTTAATAAACACATCCCACGTTTCTGTACCTGCTAATCTCCTTACTGTTGAGCTGGTGACATTATTTCTCTGAAGCAGGCATGCTTTTGGGTAACTACTGAGGTCTTGCTGTAGGTCAGCAGGAAAGAAATTCTGATGGAAGGTTTTCTGTGGCTTTGGCTTTTTCTGCGTGTCTTTGACTACAGCACAGTGGGTTCCTCTCCTCTCCTTGTGGAGTTCCAGGCACTTACACCTTGTTTTCCCATAAGCCTTTTTTCTTTTTCCCTTCCTTTAAACTTGTTTTGGTATGACTTGGAGGGGCAAGATGAAGAATAGCTTTTCTCAAACTTCCAGGGCACTTTGAATGAACTATACATAAATAAGGAAAACGTAATTAAATTTGATGTTTCTTTTTCTTAATGTTTGTATAATAGTTTACTTAGGGAGGGTGTGTGGGTTAAAGAATGTAAGCACATGAAGTCAAGAGTGTGGGCCAGCAGCAGATGCTCAGAAGAGGAAAGTTAGGAAAGTGATGCCAATGAGGAGGAAAAGAAAACCAGAGAAGGGTGAGGAACACTGTGACATTAGCTGTCATTCCAGTGACCTTCGAAATGCTGTCCATGTACTCTTCTTTCTGAGTCAGTTTTATCTGGAGAAAAGTTTTAAAATCTTGGAGTAGTTTCTCTTTAAGAACTGGTTTTCTGGCTAGAGAGATGTTCAGTTAGCAAACTGATGTATTCATTTAAAAGTTAGACATGGTGGCATGCAGATGCAGGATGATTCCTGGAGCTTATTGATCTATAGCCAAATTAGCCAAGTCTGCGTTCTGTAAAAGACCTTCTCTCAAAAAATAAGATGAAGCCATTGTGGAAGATATCTGATGTCGGCCTCTGGCCTCTACCCACTCAAGTCTACATGCACCACATACACACTCAGTACCAGAAATGGGTGTGGGGAGGGGTGAGAGAAAGAAAAGCAGGTCTTTTATATATTCATATACACATATATGAATATTATTCCTATTTATTTGCTATTTCTTTTCCCAGTAGGATAGATACATAAGAATGCGTAGGCATTTTTTAGTTTTGTTTTGTTTTGTTTTAATACCTGTTCTTCACATCAAAAGTAAGCACTTTTGTGTCTTCTTGGGTGTTTCAAATACATGTGTGATATAGGGGGATCTGAGCTTCTGCTATCTGCCTGTCTCTGAGATGGTTTTCTTCCTCCAGGTGTTCCTTCTTCCTCAAGATAGAATCATATTTGGAGGTGGATTTCACGCCTTAACTGCTTGTAAGACATAGATGAGCGCATTGTGTATATACGGCGT